TGACAGTATGTGGTAATTGTTGACTGTGTGATGTTTGGTGACAGTGTGTGATGTTTGGTGACAGTATGTGATAATTGTTGACAGTATATGATGTTTGTTGACAGTATATGATGTTTGTTGACAGTATATGATGTTTGTTGACAGTATATGATGTTTGTTGACAGTGTGATGTTTATTGACTGTTTGATGTTTGTTGACTGTGATGTTTGTTGACTGTGTGATATGTTTGTTGACAGTGTGTGATGTTTGTTGACAGTGTGTGATGTTTGTTGACAGTGTGTGATGTTTGTTGACAGTGTGTGATGTTTGTTGACAGTGTGTGATGTTTGTTGACAGTGTGTGATGTTTGTTGACAGTGTGTGATGTTTGTTGACAGTGTGTGATGTTTGTTGACAGTGTGTGATGTTTGTTGACAGTGTGTGATGTTTGTTGACAGTGTGTGATGTTTGTTGACAGTGTGTGATGTTTGTTGACAGTGTGTGATGTTTGTTGACAGTGTGTGATGTTTGTTGACAGTGTGTGATGTTTGTTGACAGTGTGTGATGTTTGTTGACAGTGTGTGATGTTTGTTGACAGTGTGTGATGTTTGTTGACAGTGTGTGATGTTTGTTGACAGTGTGTGATGTTTGTTGACAGTGTGTGATGTTTGTTGACAGTGTGTGATGTTTGTTGACAGTGTGTGATGTTTGTTGACAGTGTGTGATGTTTGTTGACAGTGTGTGATGTTTGTTGACAGTGTGTGATGTTTGTTGACAGTGTGTGATGTTTGTTGACAGTGTGTGATGTTTGTTGACAGTGTGTGATGTTTGTTGACAGTGTGTGATGTTTGTTGACAGTGTGTGATGTTTGTTGACAGTGTGTGATGTTTGTTGACAGTGTGTGATGTTTGTTGACAGTGTGTGATGTTTGTTGACAGTGTGTGATGTTTGTTGACAGTGTGTGATGTTTGTTGACAGTGTGTGATGTTTGTTGACAGTGTGTGATGTTTGTTGACAGTGTGTGATGTTTGTTGACAGTGTGTGATGTTTGTTGACAGTGTGTGATGTTTGTTGACAGTGTGTGATGTTTGTTGACAGTGTGTGATGTTTGTTGACAGTGTGTGATGTTTGTTGACAGTGTGTGATGTTTGTTGACAGTGTGTGATGTTTGTTGACAGTGTGTGATGTTTGTTGACAGTGTGTGATGTTTGTTGACAGTGTGTGATGTTTGTTGACAGTGTGTGATGTTTGTTGACAGTGTGTGATGTTTGTTGACAGTGTGTGATGTTTGTTGACAGTGTGTGATGTTTGTTGACAGTGTGTGATGTTTGTTGACAGTGTGTGATGTTTGTTGACAGTGTGTGATGTTTGTTGACAGTGTGTGATGTTTGTTGACAGTGTGTGATGTTTGTTGACAGTGTATGATGTTTGTTGACAGTGTGTGATGTTTGTTGACAGTGTGTGATGTTTGTTGACAGTGTGTGATGTTTGTTGACACTGTGTGATGTTTGTTGACAGTGTGTGATGTTTGTTGACAGTGTGTGATGTTTGTTGACAGTGTGTGATGTTTGTTGACAGTGTGTGATGTTTGTTGACAGTGTGTGATGTTTGTTGACAGTGTGTGATGTTTGTTGACAGTGTGTGATGTTTGTTGACAGTGTGTGATGTTTGTTGACAGTGTGTGATGTTTGTTGACAGTGTGTGATGTTTGTTGACAGTGTGTGATGTTTGTTGACAGTGTGTGATGTTTGTTGACAGTGTGTGATGTTTGTTGACAGTGTGTGATGTTTGTTGACAGTGTGTGATGTTTGTTGACAGTGTGTGATGTTTGTTGACAGTGTGTGATGTTTGTTGACAGTGTGTGATGTTTGTTGACAGTGTGTGATGTTTGTTGACAGTGTGTGATGTTTGTTGACAGTGTGTGATGTTTGTTGACAGTGTGTGATGTTTGTTGACAGTGTGTGATGTTTGTTGACAGTGTGTGATGTTTGTTGACAGTGTGTGATGTTTGTTGACAGTGTGTGATGTTTGTTGACAGTGTGATGTTTGTTGACAGTGTGTGATGTTTGTTGACAGTGTGTGATGTTTGTTGACAGTGTGATGTTTGTTGACAGTGTGTGATGTTTGTTGACAGTGTGTGATGTTTGTTGACAGTGTGATGTTTGTTGACAGTGTGTGATGTTTGTTGACAGTGTGTGATGTTTGTTGACAGTGTGATGTTTGTTGACAGTGTGTGATGTTTGTTGACAGTGTTTGATGTTTTTTGACTGTGAGTGATGTTTGCTGACAGTGTGTGATGTTTGTTGACAGTGTGTGATGTTTGTTGACTCTTTGTGATGTTTGCTGACAGTGTGTGATGTTTGTTGACAGTTTGTGATGTTTGTTGACAGTGTGTGATGTTTGCTGACTGTTTGATATGTTTGTTGACAGTGTGTGATGTTTGTTGACAGTGTGTGATGTTTGTTGACAATGGGTGATGTTTGCTTACAGTGTGTGATGTTTGTTGACTCTTTGTGATGTTTGCTGACTGTTTAAGGGGTTAAATGTGTGAAATGCATCAAACAAACAACATCTTTTCAAAAACTGAAGGGAACAGAATCTTAATATTTGGCTGGTAGCTCCTTGGGGTTATCCCGGCAACGTTTGCGAGTGAAAATTACTTCGACCTTTTTTCAAGGTTACAGGGGTCAAATATGTCAAACACTTCAAGTGACTTCTTCTGAGGAACTGAAAAGTATAGAACATTAATATTTTGCTGGTATCTTCTTTTAATTGAGCATGACAAAGTTTGTAAATGAAAATGACCTAAACCTACTTTAAAGGTCACAGAGGTCAACAACATTGTTCTGACGATCCATAAGGAATGAATTCATAAGATTTGGCTGGTTAAGCTTCTTGGGATAGAGCCAACAATGTTTGAGAAGGAAAATGACCTTGACCTACTTACAAGGTCATGATGAAAAATATGTCAAACACTTCAAAATACTTCTGAAAAAGAACCAAAAGCATAGAATCATATGATAATATTTGGCTGGTAGTTTCAACTGATGGAGTCAACAAAGTTTGCGAGTGGAATATTTGTAGTACAGTATAATAGTTAATGAGAATATTTGGCTGTGACTGGTTAAACATTCAGGTGAGCAGTACAGGCCCTCTGGGCCACTTGTTTGATAACATATTGTATATTAGATTGATACATTCTGTTAGCCTAAGGAGCATATTTGTATTGATTATTTAGTGATTTTGTCAGAAAAAATACCCATGGGATTTTTCCATTCTTTGTTGAACACAATAACTGTAGTGCTTGATAAGTCCTTTGCCTGTCCAGCTGCTGAAGACTTGCCTACCCTTTAGCCCCAGATGACTTGCCTACTGCTGTGCTAGCTGTAATGGAATTGAAGCTTGTACCCTCAGTGCTGGTGGCCTGTCTGTGTTTAATATAACCAAATATATCAGTTTTCCTACACAGCACCACAGAGTCATCTTAGGTGCTTTTGTATGTCAGCAGTGCAGGTCATTATACAATCAGACATTCTCTGTCCAGGTGTCTGTAACTTCAATAGCAGGGATTAAGGTTAATGTATTACCGGGTAGGTTTCACCTGACGATTTCAATTAACTTCTTATAACCAATGTTATAAAGGGTAGTTCTTGTACATATTTAGATGACAATACACATGAGGTATGGGAAATGCTTTGAAATGTTTCATACATTGTACACAGCAATCTGTAATAATAAAAATCATTTGTTACTTAGGAATTGGCTTGATCTGTCAATATGCTGATTATGCTAGCAAACCTAACTGGCCAAATTAATGTCTGACCATTCTGCCAGTGTATAGGCATGAATCTAGTACTCCGTGTATATGGTTACTCTGTGTGTGGATATGAAGTAACTCCTTGTATCTGGTCAGTGTGACTAGATAGGTTATTCTGGGTGTATATATAAAGTAACTCCTTGTATCTGGTCAATGTGACTAGATAGGTCAATACTCTGGGTGTAGATATGAAGTACTTTCTCCTTGTATCTGGTCAATGTGACTAGATAGGTCAATACTCTGAGTGTAGATATGAAGTACTTTCTCCTTGTATCTGGTCAATGTGACTAGATAGGTCAATACTCTGAGTGTAGATATGAAGTACTTTCTCCTTGTATCTGGTCAATGTGACTAGATAGGTCAATACTCTGAGTGTAGATATGAAGTACTTTCTCCTTGTATCTGGTCAATGTGACTAGATAGGTCAATACTCTGGGTGTAGATATGAAGTATAACTCCTTGTATCTTGCTAATGTGACTAGATATCAATCCACCTCCTGTATCTGGTTATGATGGCTGTAGATGTAACTCCATTCCAAGTATCTGGCCATTCTATAGATCTGGCTATTCTATAGATCTGACCATTCTATAGATCTGGTCATTCTATAGATCTGGCTATTCCCTGTATCTGGCCATTCTATAGATCTGGCTATTCCCTGTATATGGCCACTGTGGTCATGCCAGTAGTTAAGATGATAACTCCACAGCCTACGTATGGCTATGCAGAGTTTAGGTATAAAATCAATTGCCTTTTTCTAGCTTATAATGACTGAAGATATAAATGAACTCAATTGCTGTTTTCTAGCTTAAAATGACTGAAGATATAAATTAACTGCCTTGTATATAGACATGCTAGCATACGACACTGTATTCTATATAGAAAAAACAATTCTCACCCAGACGTGTTGACAGGTGGATTGAAAGGTCATCGGTTTTGGTTGATACGTTTTCAATGAAACATCACATTTTTATATTATATTCGTATATATTTTCTCATTTCCAGCTATAAACAGATTTTACCTGTGTTTTATTTTTTATTTTGATGTACCAGATGGAAATCCCACCTGTATATAGCATGTGTTAATCTACCTGGTATATCTGTTGTATTTCTGTCGTAGTGTTTCTGTAACTGATCAATAAAAGTTTACAGTGATGCACTATTTTGAAACTTTTATTACACCTGTGCCATTTCCACCTGTCCACAGTTTGTCACGAGCACCAGTTCAAGGACAGGTACCTGTTCTATCGGTTCCGCCAGGATGACCAAGGGGTTGGCACTACGCCAAGTCACGCTGACAGAAAGGAGTGTGATGATGAGCTTCAGGACACACTCCTGTCGCTGGCTCAGATTGGGCCTGACGCGATGATGAGGATGATTCTCCGTAAATCGTAAGTCGTCGTTGGTGTGCACATGTGTGCTGTGTTTGTGTTGGATTAGACATCGTTAGAGCACATGCTTTACATGACAACATGGCTGCCCTAGCTGTCAGCACCATGTCATGCAGCATCAGGAATTTAATGCTATCTCCAGTTTTAAACCAGGACACGATGCTACAGCTAGCATTTGGTAAAAGGTGAGTGATATTGTGTAGATATACTATATTAGAAGCTTCTCTGCTTACACATGTAGCTGTCGTTTAGTTACTATATAGCTAGGCTCTGTAAGTGTGGCTACCTTCGTTTTGGTGTTGTATCTCAAGGTTGTACATTAAGTTTAAATACATATATTTTGATAAGTCAATTTAAATATTACATTTGACTTAATTGAGTATAGATTTATTATTCCAAAGATACATGAGTGCTTACAATTTGTAAAAGATCGGCTGTATATATATATATACCTGACAATTTCAGTTCATGGGAGATTAGTGTGTTTTTAATGGAGATTACAAAGGGGTTTGACTGTCTATTGTAAAATCAATTTTGAGTTACAACTCTGCCAAACAAATAGGCCAATTTGTAAAAAGTATAGACAGTGTTGTTTGGTTGTGCTGGTGTATTGATTGTGTGTACTAATGATGTATAACTCCTGGTTACACCCGTCATAGACTATCATTACATGTTTATCACCTCTTTAAACAGCTCGTCAGTAAAGAACACATAAATATACCACCCCTATCAGAACCTTTCTATGCTCACCATATGCCAACAAAACCTTTCTACATTGACCATAGATTAAAAAACCTCAATAAACTGACTATATACAAACAAAACCTCGTTACACTGACCATAGCTAAGCAATCTTCCCTTTAGTCACCATAGATAATACAATGCCATTCCTTACCAACCATAGCTGATCAGCAGTGTAACCCTCCTTACACGAACCATTATAAGTAAACAGCACTTTATGTAAACTGACCACAGCTAAACAATGCCTTGATTTGTATAAACTGATCAATCAGGTAATCACATTTAATACAATGACCATTTGTGGTCTGTTCATCTGTAGGTTGACCAAATGTAATAAACTCCGACTTGTTTAGATCAATCTTTGGTAATAAATGACCATTATACAGTCATCATCTCCTGAAGTTATCGAAAAGATCCACACTCTGACCCTGACAAATTAGGTAATCATGCAGCACCTTCATAATTCGACCAGATGTTATTGAAACTGCCATATATCGAAAACTAAGTAATCATCAAATGCAATTGATTAACAATTTTTGTTTATAATTAACTGACACAAAAAATGCAACACAAGTGGTCCAAAGTGTAGCCTAAAACAGCTTCTTTTTTCATTAATTAAAAGTGATCCATGTCATGTTTTTCCAAGGGATAATGAATTTTCAATTTCAAAGTATTTTATTGACAATACATATATAATACAAACATATAAGTTAACATTAAAGGAGATATTTGAACAGTATTGACAAAAGAATAAGACAACAGGCTTTGCCTATATCAGTCTTCTTCTAATTCCGGTAGATATGTACAATGCTTAAATATATAAAATGTTGTGATTCGTTTCCTCTCACACTCATGCACACCCACACCCACACCAGCTTATGTCTAATACTCGTTATTTAAGGGATAAAACTTGCCTGAATAACAATAATTATAACAATACATGAATATTCATTTGGAAATTTATCTAGCACGTATAAGTAACGAAACGTTTTGATGATTTAATATAAGAGTCAACATGTATAAGAATAGTTTTATTTAATTGGTTGGATGCATTACTAATACCATATACTAAACAGTGCAGATTTAAATATCCTACTAGATTATAAATAGTGGTAATATGATGCCTAATATTAGAATACAGAGGACATTGAAAGAAAAAATGTATTAGATCTTCCCTCTGTACACCACATACACAGGAAGCATCATCAATCAGATGGTCTTGTAACTTATCACAGTTAAGATCACTTTTAAAATTTCTTAGCTGACATAAAATTATGTTAAGTTTCCTCGGAACACAGTTAATAAAAGTTTCTGAGACGGATGTATCAAAGGTTTTTTTAAGTTTCTTTTTAAAAGATGAAATTGAGATGGAGTCTCGTACAGTGCTATCAAGTGCATTCCATTTTACCATTGTAGAAGGGAAGAAGCTATTCATATAAGTAGTAGTTCTTGTCTGTGGTATATTAAAGAATCTGTTATTTCTGAAGGTATAGTTATTATTTACATTTAGAAATGGTTGAATGATATTATCGAGAAAAGTTGGAGTGTAATTATTAAGAATCTTCTACATTAATGTTAGTTTATGATTTTGTCTTCGTGTGTGTAATGTTTCAAGTTGTGTTTCAGTATACAGAATATGATGAGATGTACCTCGTCTGAGGCCAGTAATTAAACGCATAGCTTCTAGTTGAACTGATTCTAAAAGATCTGATTCCGATTTGGTACAATTATCCCATACTATATCAGAATATTCTAGCACAGGTCTTATATAAGAGACATATAATGTTTTTAATGTATTCCTATCAACTGTAGTTTTTAAAATTCTAAGAATACTTAGTCTAGAGTTCGCTTTCTTATAAATATTTGAAATGTGATCTGACCATGTCCCTTTACTGTTAAATGTTAGTCCTAAGTGAGTATGGTGTTCATGTTGTGCAATTGGAGTATTGTTAAATAGCAGTTGAGGATGATTGTTAATGTGTCTACGAGAGAAGTTAATAGCTACAGTCTTATTCGGATTGAATAGGATCTGCCATCGCTTTGACCATTCAGAGATTGAGTCAAGATCATCATTAAGTATGTTAGTAGGTGTTGTAAGGTCATTGTTATTATTTACTATTACATAGAGAGAGGTATCATCTGCAAAGAGTTTTATATGAGAAGTTACATTATTAGTAATATCATTAATAAAAAGAAGAAAGAGGAAGGGACCAAGGACAGATCCTTGAGGAACCCCTGCAGACATAGGTTTGGTACTAGATTTATAACCTTCAAAGATAACCCTTTGTTTTCTGTCAGATAAGTAAGCTTTAAACCAATTATATAATTTACCTTTAATACCATATGTTTTTAGTTTATATAATAGGCCCAAATGCCATACTCGATCAAATGCTTTACTTATGTCACAGAAAACAAAACGCAAATCTTTACCTTGGTCTAAATTGCCACTTATAGTATTATAGATATCAGCTAGTTGATTAGTAGTGGAGTCTTTGGGTTGAAATCCTGACTGATGTACACTTAACATATTGTGACTTGAAATATAATTAAACGTATATTTAAAAATATTTTTTTCTAACATTTTGATAAAAATAGATGTAATAGCAATAGGTCTATAATTATTGAGATCACTGATATCTCCTTTACCTTTATAGAGAGCAGTAACATTAGCCGTTTTTAGTACATCAGGTATTACTCCAATAGATAAAGTTCTATTAAATAATAGTTTGAGTGGGTATACTAAAGAAGCAGAAATGTTCTTTACAATCATAGGTAAAATACCATCAGGACCAGCTGGTTTGTTTTTATTAAAAATGTCAAATTGGTCAGTTATATCTTGTTCAGTAATGTTAATGTCAGAAAGTTCAAATGGACATAAGGGAGGTAAATCAGGTAGGTTAGTGTCAGTAATATCAGAGGCAATGGTGGTAAAGAAGTTATTTAGTGCCTCAGCTTTATCTTGTGGATGGATTAATATTTTATTGTTAGATTTTAGAGGATAAGAATTAGTGCTAGTGTTATTCATTTTTCCTATAGATTTTGCTATCTGCCACCATTTTCTTGGATGCACTGTTTTGTCGGCAAGACAATTTTGAAGTTTCTTAAAGTAATTTTCTTTGGATTGCCGAATAATTTGTATAGTGTCATTGCGACAAGTTCTAAATTTTGCCCAATCTTGTTCCCTATTTTTATTTTTAGCTCTTTTATGTAATCTATTCTTATATCTTAATTTATGCCGAATTTCACCAGTCATCCAAGGTTTATCATCAGGATGGACAGTAATTGTTTTGTGAGGTATATGAGAGTTAGTAGCAGAGTTTATTTTGTTTATAATAGTAGAATATAGTTCATTAATGCTAGTAGTGTTATTAACTATGGAATCCCAATCATTACTAAGTAGTTCATTATTAATAGCATCCCAATTAGCTTCATTGAACTTATATATAGGTTTCTTGAATGGTTTATTTTTTAGTGTCTTAAAACAAATGTTAGCAAGGATGGGGCAGTGATCACTACAGAGAGGGGAAAGTACATTTGTTGAGGTAAAAATGTTTACATTATTAGTAATAAATACATCAATTAAGGTAGCAGTAGTGTTTGTAATGCGTGTTGGTGATTGTATTAAGTTTTTTAAGTGATATTTAGTAATTAATCTTGCAAGATGTGAATTAGGTTTCATTGTGATAAAGTCAATATTTATGTCACCAGTGATAATGATATTAAGATTAGTATTAGAAAGATTATCTAAAATGTTATCAAGTTTATTCCAGTAATCTACTTTTGTATTAGGAGGTCTATAAAGACAGCAGAGAAGTATTTTTTTGTTAGAAGTGTTAATTTCTAGGATGACAAGTTCTATGTCTTCAGTTTCAAGATCAGTTCTGTGATTTATTAAGAGGTTGTTTTTAGTATATATCATAATACCACCACCGTGTTGTGATTGTCTGTCTCTACGATATGAGTTGGGATGTGAGTTAATTTGCAAATCAGATTCAGTTATTTCATTATTCAGGTGAGTTTCAGTAAGACATAGGATGTCATAGTCAGTGAATTCAGTATCTATAAGATCAACCTTGTTCCGAAGAGACCTAACATTTAAGTGCATTATTGATAAATCATTATAGTAGTTTCTTTGATTAATACTGATTGATGAGCGACCTGGATTAGAGTGAATATTTCCAGACATCAGAAGTAGAAGTTTTATAACAAACAGAATGTATAAAATATCTTGAGTATACATGTAGTGATATCATATTGGTATTACAGGCAGTAAAAGGATAATGAATCTATCGTGTAACTGTCCAATTTAAGTATAAACACCACCCTAACTTGCATTTATAAGACTGAGTGTCAAGCGCTCTCTTCTGGTAATTTGTGTCGGTACTTGCTGATAACAACTAGAAGACAATCAAAAAATGTGATGACTAACTATATATAT